GCCACAACGCCCGGCTATTTTTTGGTTGTAGCCATCATTGTTGTTTGGTGGGTCCGGGCTGGGGATTTGAACCCGCCACCTTAGGTGTACGTGGCTGGCGCCTTAGCTGGTTGAGCTATAGGCGCCCAGCCTGTGCTTCAGTTTTTTAAAAACTACTTTAAAAATATATTGTGAAAGCTCAGCACCTCTAGCTCAGTGGTTAGGGTGCCAGCCACATACACTGGAGCTGGGAGGTTCGAACCCAGCCCAGGCCTGCCAAAGAACAATGACAACTACAACCAGGGCATTGTAGCAGGTGCCAGTAGCTACTTGGGAGGCTGAGGCAAGATAATTGCTTAAGCCGAAGAGTTTGAGGTTGCTGTGAGTTGTGACGTCATGGCACTCTACCCAGGGCAACAGCTTGAGATTCTGTCTGAAAAAAAAAAAAGAAAAGATATGTTGTGAAGATTAAGTGACTGATATATGTTGTTAGCATTTTACAAGTATGCCTGCTACATAGTAAGTGCTCAATTAAATTTAGCTATTAAAGGTTGAGCATCCCAAATCCAAAACTCCAGAATTTGAAATGTTCCAAAATCTAAAACTTTTTGAGCCACCTACATGACTCCCAAAGGAAATGCTCATCAAACCATTTGGGATTTGGGATATTCAACCCATGAGTCACGCAAATCGTCTAAAAAAAAATCTGAAATCCAAAACACTCTGGGCCCATTTTGAATAAAGGATAGTCAACTTGTATTATCATTAGCTAGCATAGTAGTACCTAGACCACTCCTGCCTCTGTACCTTAGATCCCCTTGGTATTAAAAGGAGTCTTTTACTGTCACCTTGAGCTGCAAATCCTAGGAATTTCCATCAGTAGAACATTAGTTTTTACTCAAAGCATCCAGAGTCCCGAAGAATTGCTAGTAATGGCCATGCTCTGCCGTGTAACAAGTTGGTCACAAAGGTTGAGGTTCTTAGTCTTGCACAGAGGCAAGACTGACCATGATAGAGAACAAAGTCCCGAAAGAGAGTCACATGGAACATTCTGGAGTCCAAAATGAGGTCAGGCAGAAATAAGGCTGCTCGTGTTTGTCAGGGGAGACTGCAAGAAGCATGTGTCATGGGGATTTAGAGCCAGTTTTTCTTGAATTTATAATTTGGGCTTCCACACACTTCAACTTCATCTGCCTTGATCAGATGGGCCAGTGAGTTAATTCCAAGAAATTAGCTTTATGTCATGCTGAGGCCCTGGACACATCAAGTGGACTTAATTGGAAGTGCTGCATTCCCCGGCAGCCCCCTTGAATACACGGCAGCACTTGGTATCATCATTTGACACGACTTAAGGCCACGGTGCTGAGAAGAGGCAGAGTCTGCACTGAATGTGGCTCGCTGGCTCTGGAGCCAACATGCACATGTGCTGTTGATCTGGGAGCTGATATGTCCGGTAATGTTTCTTACTCGGTCCCTTCCCTCACCTTTGCTCAGTTTTGCTGCTCCACTTTTGAATGGGCCTGGGGAGTCCGTCTGCATGATTTTGTGCCTCTGAGTCACATTAAAATTCACAGACACAGAAGCAGAGTGTATTTACTAACCACAAGGGAAAAATGACTTCTGAGCCCTCAGACCCCTCAGATTTACCTAATCCTGGAGCAGCTTCATGGACTTGTAAGTAATAAGGATCAGAAAGATTTCCTAGGGCTGCCTTTTTTCAAACTTATTTGCTATCCTGCCCTTTGTAAGACTGAGATCGCCATACCTGACTTCATCATCTACTGCAAAATGTATCCCTTTTCCTGTTAGACTCTCAGGTCATTTGGGGGCTCTCGATTTAGTTGAGAGAGCTATGTGGGTTGCAATGAGAAAGGACTTTGCAAGCAGCAGTATTAAGTTTGAACTTTGTCTCTGTTACTGATTAGCCATATGAACCTGAGTGACCTACTTAAACATCCTTAGGCATATTATTTGTAAAATAAAAAAAACAAACAATGTTTTCTTCTTCTATGTTGAAGGAAAGTTTCAGCTGTTAACAAAGTGATAGTTACTTACACAAAAGTGCCTGGCGTAAAATATCCACTCAGCGTTTACCCTCGACCTGTGTACTTTTCTCCTTCCTTCCCTCACTTCTCCCTAGAAAAGACAGCTCACACAGGTAAGATTCACCAACAAGTTTGGAAACGAGTAGGCAGATGTACCTGTGGTTGCCTTCGGGTTGAAGAGTAGGTAGTCTGGACAGCTTCTAACCAGAAACAAATGGCCCCCACCAATAAGAACACTTGAATTTCCAGGGCCCTTGGGAGAGGCCTGGAGCTGGCATGTCTCTCCTGTTTCCTTCTTTGCATTAATAACACAAAAGAATTGGCTGTTCATTGAATTGGTAAAGTGAAAAATATGCTGAAGTGAACAGACTGGCAGCAAAGTAATTCAATGCACAGATGTACCCTGGGTACCTACCTTTAAGTGCAGATACTGAGCCAAGCATGGGGCTCTGAAGATAATTAAGGCCTAATAAGTAGACTTTTGAACAAGAGGAAAGCCCTACCACATACCTGGCTGGCCAGCCAATGTAGGAATCCTTGTACACCAACTCATATAATCAATTATGTTTCTCTGAGTTTGGAATTGATCAATTTAAATTTTTTTTTTTTTTTTTGAGACAGAGCCTCAAGCTATCCCCCTGCGTAGAGTGCCATGGCATCACAGCTCACAGCAACCTCCAACTCCTGGGCTCAAGCAAGTCTCCTGCCTCAGCCTCCCAAGTAGCTGGGACCACAGGCGCCCGCCACAACGCCCGGCTATTTTTTAGTTGCAGCCATCATTGTTGTTTGGCGGGCCCGGGCTGGGGATTCGAACCCGCCACCTTAGGTGTATGTGGCTGGTGCCTTAGCCGCTTGAGCCACAGGCGCCGAGCCGATCAATTTAAATTTCTTATCATCAGCCCACTGTGCTCTTTACCTTGCTCCAGTATTGCCTAGCACACCATCTGTGGAGTATTCTTGAGTTTTCCAGTCCCTGGCACTCCCTTCTCATGTGTAAGATGAACTCAGAGGCGAAGCTAGCTAGAGTCCAAAGATTCTGTTTTTCTCACTGGCTCTTTCCTTTTGGATGGTTTTGCTCCACAATATAACTTTATCTCCTTGCAACTTCGCTTGCTTTCCTTCCTCTTTCCTTAATTCTACTGCTTTAACCCTCCTCAAAAAGTCTCAGAAGTAGAGAATCAAATTTATTCTTTTTTTTTTTCTGAGACAGAGCCTCAAGCTGTTGCCTTGGGTAGAGTGCTGTGGCGTCACAGCTCACAGCAACCTCCAACTCCTGGGCTTAAGCAATGCTCTTGCCTCAGCCTCCCAAGTAGCTGCGACTACAGGCACTTGCCACATGCCCGGCTATTTTTTGGTTGTAGTTGTCATTGTTGTTTGGCAGGCCCAGTCTGGATTCAAACCAGCCAGCTCTGGTGTATGTGGCTAGAGCCTTAGCCACTTGAGCTACAGGTGCTGAGCCATCAAATTCATTCTGAAAGAATGCACTCTCTAAGCAGAATGTTCATCCTTTTCCAAAGCAGTTTCTGAAAAGTTTTCTCCATTAAAAAAAAAAAAAAACCCAAACACTTACCTTGTTTGCATAGAGCAGATACTTTGATTTAAATTCAAATAGCCAAAGGTAGTGTTTGTCACAGAAAACAAAACAAAGAAGTCGAAACCCCCAAAATTCTTTGTTCCAGAATAAAAGTAAACAGAAAGTGCTGACTTTGATCAAAGTGCTCTCAGTTTAAAACAGAAGCCACGGGTCTTTATTGCTGTGCTGATGACTGCAGAAAATATACTCACTACAGGAAAAAATATGTTTAGTACGAGAACCTGATACTTCCGTGATCTCAAGGGAGGGCCAAATGATGAGTCAGAATACAGCTGTTGGATTGGCAGGACACAGACTCCTCCTGCCCTTTCCCCCACCCTCCCGGGCGTCACATTCTGGCAAAGCCCTACAACATTGGGGGAGCATGTGGTTAGCGGCGCGCTTAGCACTGTCGCCATTAGAGGGCGCCAAGTCACCTTTCTCAGTGAAACAGGCGGTGTGCTTTAGAAACCATCTGCAAACCCTGACTCTTGTTTGAACCGTCTTAGGAGCTGTCCAAAGGAGAAAGTAATTTAGGTGACAATTACCTCATCAAGTTCTTCCAAGCCTGGAGTTCTCTAACACCGGGGGCCTGAGTTTAAAATTCAAGACCTACCAGAAGTTTCAGCAGCTTCATCCTTCAGACTGGATCAGCAGCCGGAGCTGGTAACATGCATTGCAGAAAGCATAAAGCTACTTTTTAAAAGATATTAACCTAGGATCCAAGGAGGGAATTAAGTACAGAAGGAGTTGCAGCAACAGAGTACACTAAGTCGTCATTTTTTTTTTTTTTTTTCCCACTGTGTGCTTGAAGCTACCATAGCAGCAGACATGTTAGGTGTTTTGTTTAGGGACATTTTCCAGTGTGGTTCATTGCAAAAGCCCACAGGAGTAAGAAAGCATAAATGAGGACAGTGGGCCAGGTAAGATCTGACTGGAAAGCGCATTCCATCTCTATTCAGTTCAGCTAAATGTTGCCATTTGAAAGCATGAACCCTATACTGCAAGGCTTAAGGTTCCCTTCAAAAGAAGCTGCAAATCCAGATTTTTAATATAAAATCTTCTATTGGCAGCAAATTAACTTTTTTCATTTGAAAAATATCAAGCCCACAGAAAAGTTGAAAGAACAGTATCATTAATGAACACCAATATATCTGCCACCCATATTCTTCTTATTATAACGACCTTTTGGTACATTCTCTCTCTCTCTTTCCCTTTTGCTTCCTACACACACACACACACACACACACACCCTTTTTGACAAACTAAGTAATCTGTAAGAATCATGTTGCCAGCTTGTTCCTGTAGCTCAGCGGTGAGGGCACCAGCCACATGCACCGGAGCTGGCAGGTTCTAATCCAACCCAGGCCTGCCAAACAACAATGACAATTGCAACCAAAAAAAAAAAAAAAAAAAAAAAAAAAATAGCCTGGCACCTGTAGTCCCAGCTACTGGGGAGGCTAAGGCAAGAGACTTGCTTAAGCCCAGGAGTTTGAGGTTGCTGTGAGCTGTGACACCGTGGCACTCTGCCCAGGGTGATAGCTTGAGACTGTGTCCGAAATAAAAAAAAAAAGAATCATGTTGCCATCATGATATTTCAGCATGCATCTCATAGGAAAAGACAATATCCTACAGTTCAACCCAAGGGTGCAGGGCAGTCCAGTCCAGTGTCAACCTGTTAAAATGGTGCATAGGACATGTGGCTAGAGAGGCAGGGGCCCCACCCAGACAAGCAGTGTGGGAAACTGTGGAAAATACTGTTCACAGTCGTCTCAGTCTCAGCAGCAGTCCCTGACAGGGTGGTGAGGACCGTCCCGGGGGTGTGTGGGAGCACCCAGGCTCCTCTCTTCCTCTTCAGAGCTGCACAGAAGCTGCAGGTCCCTGGCTTCTAGGCTCTCAGAATGGTGCCTAGCGTAAGCTGTTCGAGGTTCAGACGCCTGTGGGATTCTGCTTGGGTTTCCTTTATGGAGCAACATCTCCGTGCAGTCTCCAGGCATCTCTTTATGTTAGGCCAAGACTCGTGTGTGTGTGTGTGTGTGTGTGTGTGTGTGTTGGGGGGGGGGTCTGTCGTAACTAAGTTGTAAAAATTCATCTTGCAGTGTGGAGCTCTGGGTCTTCTTTCTTACTGTTTACCCACGTGCAGGAGCTTCTCTCTACTCTTAGGCCCCAGCCAGGCAAGTTGTCCTGAACCCATTCCTTGTCCACTTTTGAAGCTTCCCTTTGGTTCCCTGGTGACTTCTAGCATTCTCTCGTAGATGATCTGTTTGAAATGCGAGAATCTGCTTATTATTCTGGTTCCTCTCTATGGAGGAGGCACATACTTCCTGTCTAGTTGCTTTCTTGGTCTGCTTTCACGTTATGGAAGGAAAAACTCAGGCTGAGGAAAAGTAAGTGACTCATTCAAGGCCACACAGCCGAGTGGCAGAGCCCATGCTCCTGAGCGCTGGGCTTGATTCTTTAAACATCACTCTACACTGGTACATGCTGAAAGATCCAGAGTTATTAGTATATAAGAAAATAGTCAACTTTATTTAAGACTGGTCCAGCAGAAGGTAATATTTATATACCCACTAAAAATTTCAGAAAAGATAAAATTACCTTTGGAGATACAATGGCTTGGAAGCTCTTCTGATTTAAAAGATTAACAAGAAATAGAGTTGGCAACACCAAAGTGTTTTCTGTGTTTCCTTTTTTCCCAGAGCTCTGGGAACTAACTTAGTTCTCTCTCTCTCTTTCTCTTTCTCTTTTTTTTGAGACAGAGCTTCAAGCTGTTGCCCTGGGTAGAGTGCCATGGCATCACAGCTCACAGCAACCTCCAACTCCTGGGTTTAAGTGATTCTCCTGCCTCAGCCTCCCAAGTAGCTGGGACTACAGGCGCCCACCACAATGCCCGGCTATTTTTTGGTTGTAGTTTTCATTGTTGTTTGGCAGGCCCGGACTGGATTTGACCTGCCAGTTCTGGTATATGTGGCTGGTGCCTTAGCCGCTTGAGCCATAGGCACTGAGCCTCTCTCTCTTTTTCTGTTTTTTCTTTCTTTTTTTTGTCTGTTTGTTTGAGACAGAGTCTCACTATATCACCCTTGGTAGAGTGCTGTGGCATCATAGCTCACAGCAACCTCAAATTCTTGGGCTTAAACGATTCTCTTACCTCAGCCTCCCAAGTAGCTGGATTACAGGCACCCACCTCAATGCTCAGCTGTTTTTGTTGTTGTTGCAGTTGTCATTGTTATTTAGCTGGCTCGGGCCAGGTTCAAACCCACCAGCCTCAGTAAATGTGGCTGTTGCTGTAACCACTGCGCTCTAGGTGCCGAGCCGCTCTCTTTTTCTGAATGGGAAAAATGATACTGCTTCTCAGTATGGTGTTTGGAATAATTTCTAGACTAGAAATGAGAAATATTTCTTTCTATTAAGTATGTTCTATGCTATGACCACAAATAGTATATGGTATAGGCCATATATAGTCATAGTTAGAAAAAAAGAGGGAGGGATAAAAAGGGGAAAAGATGCATGGGAGAGTCAGACCCAGGATTCAGAAACAATAGGTGCATTTAAAGGGAAAGAAAGACAGGACATCCCAGACACCGTGGCTCAGCGCTCATAGCTCAGTGAGTAGGGCGCTGGCCATGTACACCGAGGCTGGCAGGTTCGAGCCTGTTCTGGGGCTGCTAAAGAATAACAACTGTAACTAAAAAATAGCCGGGCATTGTGGTGGGTGCCTGTAGTCCCAGCTACTTGGGAGGCTGAGGCAAGAGAAGCTTAAGCCCAAGAGTTTGAGATCGTTGTGAGCTGTGATGCCATGGCACTCTACCGAGGGTGACACAGTGAAACTGTCTCAAAAAAAAAAAGAAGAAAGAAAGAAAGAAAAAGCAATCCCAGACATAGTAGGAAAGATATACATCAATAGAGAGACAGACAGAGAGACAAGTCCTCACATGCTCCTAGGGAGAGTGAGAAAGGGAGAGAGACCTACAGAAAATACTTTCTAGAAGTAACATCCTCATGGTGTGACTCATGATATCACTACTGAGGTTTCTGAAGTCATTTGAACATCGGGAAGTGTACAGAGCATTTCCAATGGTCCTGAGTCCTGGAGACTCATGTTCTGACTCAACCACCTAGGGCCTCTGTTACCTTGGACAAATCAATTGACATCTCCTTGTCTGAGTTTTCTTATCAGTTAAATTATGCAGTACAGTTTCCTTACCTACCCCATAATTATCTTTATGAGGATTAAAGGAGATAATGGTTGGCACTTTATTAGTTTTAAAGTAGTGTAAAAGGATCAGCATCACAATAATAATTATTATTATTATAACTGAGACAGAGTCTCACTATGTCACTCTCTGTAGAGAGCTGTGGCATCACAGTTCATAGCAACCTCAAACTCTTGGGCTTAAGTTATTCTCTTGCCTCACCCTTCCAAGTAGCTGGGACTACACGTGCCTGCCACAATGCCCAGCTATTTTTTGATTGTGGTTGTCATAGTTGTTTGGCAGGCCTGGGCTGGATTTGAACCTGATGTGTATGAACCTGATTTGAACCTGATGTATATGTGGCTAGCACTTTAGCTGCTGAGCTACAGGTGCCGAGACAGCATCACAATTATTGCCATAGTCTTTAGATGTGTTATCTCTTTATATAACACATGTTTCGTGCTGCTGAAATAAGTGGAGACAGAGGTTGCAATAGCAAAAGATTCAATCACTATCACTAATGTTTGGCATAGATTCAAAGGTGGGAGGGGGAGTTGTTTCTTTTAACAATGAAAAAAAGGGAGGGCTTCAGATATACTCTCATTGGAGGCTGTTGGCATAGGGAAGGTGCAGATGGGTTAGCTAGAAGTTAGACATCATGTGGAAGTGGTGTGGAGAGCGTCTTTGTCTTTCCAAGGTTGCCTCTGAGCGAGAAGCTAGTACTCACTGACCAAGTCTCAACCGCTCTGATTTCATTGCTCTAGTGGGTGTGGGTCAGAGTTCTGTTGTTGTAGATGGTCTGGCCATTGTCCATGTTCGGTCTTCCAGTAGATGCAAAATTAGGCTCGGGTGCTAGCTTGGTTTGAGCTGGGATCTGGGGAGTTCACTTTGCCCCCCTCTCACCTTGAGCACTGAACTCTCCAGCCAGCTTCATGAGGAATGCTAAAATGTCAACTCCACTGCCATGGAGAAAAAAGCATTTTTAGGAGTAATGGAGATTGTATTCAGTAGGGAAATGTATTCTGAGAAGTGAAATAGAT